TATGGTATTGTCTTACATAAGATTTTCTTGAACTTGACCTACTTATTGCAACATAAATGTCATTTCCTCTAAAGGAGTTTACAGAATTTATTACTCTTTATTAAGTAAGAAAGTAACAAAAGATAATAGATTAGAGGGGAGAGTATAGCTCAAGTGGTAGAGAGCATGCTTAGCATGCATGAGGTCCTGGGTTCAATTCCCAGTACCTCCTCCAAATATAAATAAATAAATAAACCCAATTACCTCCCCCTCATAAAACAAAACAAAACAAAACGGCAAAACTGTTAAAAAAAAAAGATAATAGATTATGTCCAAGAACTTCTTTTGAATTTCTGAAAATTAAGTTAATCCCAGATTTTTGCATAGAATTTTAAGATTAGAATGATAGGTTTTCCTCAGTTTGTATATATGTGTGTAAATTCATAAATGCAGCAATCAACTTCACAGTCACCTAATAGGATAAGTTTTTGGAATGATTTTAAGTGAAAGAAAAACTTATGAGAAAATCTTTACTTGTCTTTCATTTTTCCAAAATCTAACAATTCATTGTTTTCATCTGTTTTTGCTCATTAAATATTTTAAACCATATTCATGTAAACATTTATAGCTTATAGCACCTTGTTTCAATTTTATTTTGAACAGTCACAGTATTGAAGTTAGTTGACTCTTGTCTTTTTCAGAGAAGTTTTGATAGAAGTCACATGCCTAGACAGGTGTTTTGCATGTTTTAAAAAAATGGTCTTTGTATTTACATCATGCAGCAATTAGCAAGAACAAGTGTTGCAAGAGTCCTTATAGAGAGTATTGCACCTGACCTCTTTCTGAATTGTCTTCCTTATATGGCTTCATTGTTTGGTTTGGAGTAACTTCCTAGGGTTGTCATCCAAGTTCAGATTGAAGTTTAAAAATACATTCCATGGAGGAATGATAATTGGTAAACTAACTGTGAGTTAGCAAAGTCATAGATTGGATTATTGAGAAATAACTATACTTAACCTCAGGTTTTATGCGGGATTATGAAATGATTTCTTTCATATACAACTATTAATTAATATAATACCTTTATTCCCTTAACTTCCCTGCTCACAGATTAAAGGCAAAATCAAACAATTAAGTTATTAAGATTTAAATTGATACGTTTTCTGTGGCTTTTTCGCTTTTTCAGTATTTCAAATTTTTGAGCTTTTTTGATGGCAAAATATGAAGTGATCATTTTAAACTTTTCAAGTTAACTGAATAATTGGCAGTATCTAAAAGTTGTAATAACTCAGAAGTTTGAATGGATATCCTTTTCTCTGTTGATAAAGACAGCCAGTTTCAGTGTTAGACGGGGAGAAAAAATCTGCCAGATATTTGAGTCCTGTATGGGAAGTTCTTTAATCTTTGGCATATCAGTTTCAGGTTTAGAGTTTGCATTAGGAGCGATATGAGTAATTTCTGTTTCTATGACAACAAATAAAGAAACTCCAGGGCAACAAGGCCCAGTCATGTGTCCAGAGGTAAAAGTCCACTGTGCTGCTAAAGAGTCTGCCTTTATGACTTCTCTTATTCCTGGATCCCGTGTTTCCTCTCAAAAAAAAAAAAAATCCTCAAGCTATTTGAAACAAAATTTATTTTCTTTCATTCAGGACTTTGCTTGTGTCCTTGTTGCTTTTCTGTGACACAATTTCAAAACATTATTCTTAGTCATACACATCTTTAGCCCTCTCATGTTACGTCATGTTAAGTGTTATGTTTATGCTATTGCCTAAAAACAGCAGTGATATAGTAAGAAGAGTCTTCCAGCTCATATACATAAGTCACATAAGTAACAAGTGGCTTATTCCAGACCTTAGATTCTTATCTGTAATGAAAGGGGAAATATTATTTTTCTCTTAAGGTTTTACTGATTAAATTACACAGGCATACCTCATTTTACTCCAGGTTGCAGATTGTCCTTTTTTTTTTTTTTTAACAAATTGAAGGTTTGTAGCAACCCTGAATCAAACAAGTCTATTGACAACATTTTTCCAGCAGCATTTGCTCACTTCTTGTCTCTGTCACATTTTGGTAATTCTTGCAGTATTTCAAACTTTTTCATTGTTTTTGTATTTGTTATAGTGGTTTGGATCAGTGATCTTTGATATTACTTTTGCAAAAAGATTATGACTTGCTGAAGGCTCAGATGATGATTAACACTTTTTAGCAATAAAGTATTTTTAAATTAAGATATGTACATTGTTGTTTTAGACACCCCACCAGACACACAGTCCCACCCCCACCACATATACACACTTAGATGGAATTAAAAGGCAGAAGCCCCCTATATGTAGTTAGGAAACAATACTCATATTTCCTCTCTTCTCTACTCTCCTTAGAGTAGCAGGACAGAATACCAGCAGAGCCAGAACCATCTAGCCCTTCAAGATCGAAACACTCCTCTTGATAAGAAACCAGCCATCTTTGTTTTCATGTTATAAATTTTTTTGTTTTGTTTTAGAGTAAACTGTCTGAATTCCTTGTACCTGTCTCTACGTTTTGTTTATTGTTTAAAATATCAATCCATATGATGTTGACTGGTTCTCATTTTTTTAACTTTATTTTCTGATTATGGACATGATTGGTTCTACTACTGTAACATTTTTAATAAGCCATTTTTCCCCCAGAAACTCATTTATTTTATAAAGCTCAGAAAATAGAAATGGCCCCTTAATCCCATTACTGATACTATCTTATCTATTCTACTTTAGACTTTCTTGTGCTTATATAAAGATATTTTTTCCCCAAAAATCAGGCACTTGCTATACTCATAACTTTTTTCACTCAATAGTAGATCATGTACATCTCCGTATGTATGTAAATATTGATCTCACAGAACACTACTGCATAGTGATTTACAGTCGTGGACTTTGAAGTCACAGAGACCTGAGTTTGAATCCATTTTTGCCACTCACCAGCACCAAGCCTTAATTTACTCACTTGTAAAATGAGGATAATAATAGCACATTCCTTATAGGGTTATGAATATGAATATCAAGTGCTTAAAAGTATCTGGCAAACAGTAAACATACAATAAATTTTAGCTATTTATAATAATCAGTTTTGAGAACTGTATAATTTTTTATGTGCATACTTCAATTTATTCACCTGTCCAGTATTAATGAACATTTAGATACTGGGCATTTAGGCTACTTACAGCTGCCCAGTATTATAAAACAACTCTGCAGTGTACATCCTTGCAACTGAATCTCTGTGTACTGCCTTATTTCCTTAGGATACAGTCCTTAGGACATAAAATTGGTATGTTGAAGGGAATGTATATTTCTAAAGCTTTTAATAGTATTTCTAAATACCCTTCCAAAAGATTGTGGAGCTCTAACTCCATCATTCTCTGTCATTTTGTTGAAGATGATTTATCTGAAATCATCTTTCAAAGAGATATCTTTAAAGTTTTTATTGTTGCTAACTATATTAGTATATTACAGGACAGTTAAGTCATCATATTCATATATGATACAGAAGTATTTTCAAAATGGACCACCTAGTTGCCCTTGAGCCTACATTACTAGAATATAAGATTTCCCTCTAAGAAGAATATTATGCTGTGAATTTCCTCATCTGAGTAAAATAAGATGGCAGTGCCAACCAAGTTTTTAACATTTGGTAGATAACCAAGTTTGGATAATTTGTTAGTGGCCTTTTTTTTTTTTAAGCAATTTAAAATTTTTTGTGTGTTGTTTTTAATAGAAAATGCTACTTCACAAAGTTTGATTACTGAAATGTTGTGTGGGTTTGATTTCTTTTGAACTTAGAAGAGAGAAGGCTGGTATTACAAGTTTATTTACATAAGTAGCATAGCCATGTTCCTCTTGATAAGGTTCCCCAGAGCCTGTAGCATAACTTACCTATCGGGCCCTGGCACATGGTATTATCATATTTAATCCTGCTACTCATGTTAAAAACAAGACTGATTTTAAAGGTGAAAAAATATTTTTTTTAAAAAGAAGACTATGAACTCATCTACAAAACAGAAACAGACTCGCAGACATAGTAAACAATCTCATGGTTACTGGGGAACCAGGGGTAGGAAGGGCTAAATTTGGGAGTTTGAGATTTACAAGTGTTAGCCACTATATTTAAAAATAGATTTTAAAAAATATAATAACCTTTAATGAAAAAGAATATGAAAATAAATATACGTTATGTATAAGCATGGCAGGGACATTGTGCTGTACACCAGAAATTGACACGTTATAACTGACAGTGCTTCAATTAAAACAATTTTTTTGTCTTCACAACGGTTTGACTGCTTTTATTTCCAGCAGGAAGGGAACTTTTTTCAGTTTTTTAACCATAAAAATTAGTTTTCTCTGTGTTCAGATTTTTTAGCAAATCTATGCATGGTCTTGTTGAAATTTACAGTGTAGTATAATATGAAGAAAAACAAATTATTTTAAATGCCATTGCCCTGCAGTAAAGACTGTTAACATCCTACTAACCACACTTTTATGCATCATGTTTTTTTAACACATGTTAAATGACCTAATCTTTTTAAAATTGTAAAATAACATAACATAAAATTTACCATTATGACTTTTTAAGTGTGCAGTTCAGTGGCATTAAGTACTTTGACATCGTTGGGAAACCACCCCCACCACCATCCATCTCCAGAACTCTTTTCATCTTCCAAATTGAAACTCTGTACCTGTTGAGCAATAGCTCCCCGCTCTCCCCTCCCCCAGCTCCTGGCAACCATCAACTAATCTTTTTCACTTTGTATTGAAATAGAATATTCATACAGAAAAATACACATATTACAAGTATGCTGACAACCAAAAAACATGATGAGGAAGGGAGTTTTTCTAAGTGTCAATATTGAAGTTCCTTTTTCTTTGCAGAGCAAGTTGACAGTGCTCTAATGGTACAGATTTACCTTCTCTTTACCACATTATTTCATTTGATCATGTTCTGTAGATTGGCAACTAGCTCAGCTAACAAGCCTGTCACCCAGAGCATAATAAAGCACTGTGTAGTAATGCGTCACAAGACTGTTTTTGCATTGAGCTTAGCCAAGGCTTTTGGAACCGCCCTCGGCTGCACCTTGTGCTATATTAGTACTCCTCCGACAGGAAGAATTTTCTTTTGCTGCGGTAGCTTGTCCGGTTACCTTCAGGGTAAGTGTACAGTTCATGTAAACATGAGTTTCTCTTGTTTAAATTTATCTGATTCTTACTTGGTTCAGTATCTTGCTGAAATTTTAGGCATTTAAAAATCCAAATTAAGGAAATAGAAATACAATGATCCTATATAACAAAGAATTTCTTTATAGTTTGCAAAGATATGATATGTAAAAGTTTGCAGTACCTTGGGTCTCAGAAATTTAAATCTGTAGGATCTGATTTTAAGAGCTTCTTTTTTCACATGTAGATGTTAAAAAAAGAACAGTACTCTCAGAAGTCTCTTTTCAAGGGGAAAAAAGATCCATTTTTGTTGTTCATTTGCTTGTTGTGTGATTCAGTTTTGCTGATAGCCACATTAAGTTTATGTACCTAGAATTATGAACTGTTTATTATGGCTAGTAATAAAGATAAGTAATTTTTATTTTGTGCCTGTAAGTTTTATCCAGGAAATCATGGAATAGGATTCTACTGGTATGTTTTATAAATTCATAAAAGCTGGATTAGTGTCTGTAAGAATTACAACATATTATATATTGAAAATTAAGTTTCAAACTCATATTACCATAAAAGCTGAGAACATTGTGGTTAAGTAAGATTTAAATAATTGAATTTATGTTATTTTTTATAGTTAGCTAATGCAGCAGACCATTTCTTAAAGCAGTTTACTGGTTTTCATTGGCAGCCTATATCCAAGCCCTGTATCTCTGGATATTGCTGATATATGCTGTTGTTCTAGGACAAAGTCAAGGACAGAACAACTCAGAGAGCTCTAAGGGTAATCATTATAAATTACCTCATTTCCATGTGCCTTGGTTTACTCATCTTGAAAAGTGCCATTAGGTATTTGGGCAGTGGAGGGGGGAGAATAGATAAATAAAGTCTAAGCTCTAAAATTGTATATATTCATACGTGTCCATAAAATTCTGACTGAAAAGCTAAGCTTTACTATCTAAGAAAATTGGTATAAATGGCCAATTTTAAAATATCTACACTTTGAAATCTATTCTCGTTTCTTCTACCTCCTTCTCTTATCCTCCCACATTTTGCTATTCAGTTTCATTTTTGTTTTATGTCCGTATCAAGAGAAAGTTTCACTTTCCAGTTTGTGTATTTTTTTCACTACTGCCTTGAAAATCTAATTAGGGAGAGTTCTTTAAATACTCTCAAGAAACTGATTTGATAATGTTACACAAATAGTGACATTATAGTCACTATAGTCACTATAACTTATAGTTTGATTTTCCATGTGCTAGTCATCCTAATAAAGTGTCATTAAAAACCCAAGCTTAAGACAGGTAACATAGGTTGCTGGAGATGTGCAGTAAGATGTTCAGTACCCTTGCTGATACCTTGTCCATATTGTAGTAATACATACTTTTTCTTATGTAGGTAGTATACACTTTACCATTCAAAATTTCATTATTGTATAGTTTAAATGTTTCTGAAAGTATCAAAATTAAAGCAGAATCACAACTTTTGAAGCTAATAATATCAGTGAACTTAATCTTTTTTACTTTCCCATAAGACTGTCAAGTGGGCCTTTAAAAGCATTCAGTTTGGGAGTGGGGAAAAAAAAAGCATTCAGTTTGCATTCAGATAGATGATTTAAAACTTGTATAAAGGCAAGTAAATTTTTTTCATGTAGATATAGAAATTTTCAGTCACTAATGTGTAAATATATTCAAGATGTAAAGATAATTGTCTCAGAATGAAATACGCCGATAGCTTAAACTTTCAGGTATCAAGTTTGTACTATTCAAGTGTAGTTCTTACCTCTTGCTTCAGTCTTTAGCCTTGTCCTACATACTCCTTGTAATGAACAATGTTACAGTAGAGACCTTTAAATCTCATAGTGAAAGAACACAAAGTAATTATTTTCCAGTTTCCACATTTTTCCAGTCCACATTTAAAGATTCCAAATACTTAAAACTTCAAAACTTTCTTAGATGACAGTTCACGGTTCAAGGGTAATATTTTCTATTTTGAACATGTCTTCTACACTTGATGTGTTTTTTTCCAACAACTCTTCTCTTGAAGCATCTGGAACAGATGACTGTTGGCAAAGTAAGCCAGAACTTTATATACCAAGTATAGATTTACAAGCCTATTGGTTTAAAAATACCCTGCCCTAATTTTCAGTGTCTTCCTTAAAGTAGTGCCAGAATGCTGACATTTGTACTTTAGTCTTTACACTTTTGTAATAATAGTGAGTTTTCTATTATGACTGCAGTATCACTTTATGTGAGATTGTCTTTGAACAAGGATGAATTCTGATCAGATTGCCAATAAGGATTAGGAAGAATGAAATATCTTAGTTGAAATTTGTGTAATATCTAGTAAACTATTAGTCTTACTTATCAAAAATAATGTCCTAAAGTTGGACATTATTAAATTTCTGATCACTCTTTGTTTTTGTTTACATTTTGTTTAAATAAAGTAAGGAAGAGAGCATGAGAAAAAATAATTAACTTTTTTCCCTACTAACACGGGCTTCTTTTTGTTTGTTTGTTTCCCTTTCTTTTTCTAGTAAACATGAATGAATGCTCCAAAAAGAGCCATACTTGGGGGTGGAGGGTGGAAAGGAATTCAGTTACCTGGTTATGTGTAACAAAAGATTTTAGATTTCCAGATATTAAAATGTATTCTTCACTGCTTGAATTCTGTTTTTCTTTGGGCTTTTCAAATGTCTCAGAGTATGTGGTATTTTTGTAAACTCCACTGTATTTTTCCACATTCTCCTTCCTCTTTTTCAAGCTAATAAAATGGTTTTATTTAAATAGTCCCTTCTGAGAAATCTAGCAACCCTTTTCAGATATTAAACATCAAAGAAAAGCCATAAGCATTTAATATTTTATGCTTTGGATTCTATAAATGAAGAAACAGACTTTCCAGGCAGTTTCTATGACATTATTTTTTTTAAACAGACATTTCTCAGTTTTACGTACTTTAAGTGGAAGAGGGGAAAGAGTTTAGAATCTGAGAAATTTTTATATATCTGCTACACATATTTTAATTATAAAGAACAAAGATCTAATGTCCAACTTCTATTACTGGTATTTAAGAAGAAGTCACAGTTTTCTCCTCTCAACTAAGTTATCCTATTTTAGAATAGTGCTTTTTTTAAAATAAAATTTTGCTTACCTAGAATAAAGTAAAAGAAAAGTCATTGTGGATCAAAAATAATTAATTTCCCGTAAGATTTTTAGTACAAATATGAAACTTAACATAATGATAAGGGATTTTTAAAACTGCTTCTTTGGGTTTAACAAATAGATGCATATAAATTTCATCCAAAGGCCTTAAATGATCATTCAATTAAAAAATACTATCACATATCTGTTTTGTTCCCAACACTATGTAGATTCAAACACAAATCAGATCTTAGTCACATTTCACAAAATTAAAGATTTTAATGTGAGAAAATTGAAGAATAAATTTGATTTTTGTGTATTATGTTTCTACTTACATTTATTTATATATTCTTTCATTGATTCAGTAATAATAGTGCATAATTTTACCACAAACTTCATCCTTACATGTGGAGAAGTTGTTGATAAAGTGTTCTTGCAATGAAGCATTTTCTTGCAGGTATATACTTCACTTTAACTCTTTATTCAAATCTTACTAACACCATGTAAGTTATTATAGGAGAGCTGCAAATTCTCCATACAAAATTTTTAACCCAAAACTTTGTGAAATAGAGTAAAATCTTTGCTGAACTTCTTAGGAAAGAAAAAGTGACTTCGATAACTTGGTGTTTCTTTTTTTTTTTTCTTTTTTTTTTCCTTTTTTTTTGGTAACTTGGTGTTTCAGTCAAACCAAAATTACCACTTGAGTATGTCATTAACATACACAAAGAGCCTGGAATTTATGTATGTCACATGTACTTTTTTTCTCTCTCTTTTACTGTGACATCACCTGGGAAAATCCAGAAGATTGGATAACCAAGAAATGCCTAATCAAGATTCTGCTGTACATGTGAAAATGGTGGGTATTTGAATATTTCCAGTTCCATTTATTAATGGTGAATCTTCACCACGTTTAATTTACCTCTGTCTCTAATCAGATAATTATGGGACTGTAACTTAATGCAGATTTTTCTTCACAATATTGACACACAATAGAACCTCAAATATTTGTTGAATTGAATTTCTTTGAATTTTTTTGCTTGAAATCTAATGTGCATTATATTGTTTCTCAGCATATAAAATGATTACCTTTTTCCTTTTTGTACTAAATTTTCCTTGCTTAGCAGCAACACACTGAAATCATAAAACATGAGGTCTTTTAGGCCTCTAAACTAAAATGACAAGCATTTAAATAATTTTTTAAAACTTCTTGAATAGCAGTAGATTTTACTGCACTCTAGACGTTAGGATGAGGTAAGAAAAATATAGGCTTTGAGGTCAGAACTGGCTTCAGTTCTTAACTCAGTCTTTAATAGCTGTGATTCCCTTGAATGAAGGCAACCATCTCACCTTTAAGAAATGGGTATGAAACCACCAACCTCATGTTGTTTTTACTCTTTTTTTTCCAACTTTATTGAGATATAATTGACAAATAAAACTATAAGATATTTAACATGCACAGCATGATGATTTGATCTGTGTATGCATTGTGAAAGTTTCCTCCATCTAGTTAACACATCTATGACCTCACATATTTACCTTTTTTTAGAACATTTAAGTTCTTCTCTCAGCAAATTTCAGTTGTACAGTAGAGTGTTATAAATTATAATCACTATGTTATACATCATATCCTCAGACGTTATTCATTCTATAACTGAAATGTTCTTACACATATTCAGTGAAAGAGTACATGTAAAGTACCTAATAGCACATAATAAGCACTCTGAATATTAATCTGTATTATGTTAGTGTTTTAACTATGTAAGTAGCATTTATTTGTATGTGTGAGGAAAATTGTGTCCATTCTCCTTACTCACAGTCATAAAATTTTTTAAATCATAATTTCTTCCTACCTTTTAAAGAGGACAGCTCTCCCATGATCTCTTTCTGTTCTTTTTGTTGTTCTTCCTCTTCTCCTCTTTCTATTTTTTCACCCTTTTTATTTCTAGTTTTCTTTTTCTGCTTTGAGCCTATAAACCATAACGATGACTTAGCTTTGTGTCACAATTAGTAAATCTCTTTTTCAGCTTAACTTTCCTCACCCAGTGTGTGATGGGAGGATAAAGCTGATACAAAGTGCTGCTTAAGCTTTCATCAGTGTAGTTATTACTGTTAGGATAAAGCATATGAAATTGCTGGGGTTTTGATACATCAAATATATTCCAATGTTGGCAGTTTTGTGTGGACATGATCTTTCAGTCCATGTCATGATTGGCATTTGATTCATTGGTACTGAGCATGTATCTCTGATGTGTAGAATTAAATCAGTCTAAACTCATTTTCTTGCTTGAGTTGATTTTTTTTTAACCAAAATGAATTCAAGTGATATATGAATGTCCTACCATATAATTTGTTGTTACCTGGATCCTAGAACCTTCTAACACGTGTCTCCTTTAGAAGCAAGTAACAATGTAGTTAACCCACAAAAGAACTATTGGCGGAAAACAAACTAAAAGATGATACGTACTTAGATACTTCTTACTATCATTGCATGAATTTCACAATTTTTACCTTGGGTTTGCTTTTCTAAAAACATTGATACATCTTTTAAGTTGACAGCTCCTTAGGATGTTTTTCTTGACTTCTCATGATCTGGGTCCAGATCTTTCCTTCCAGACTTTACACATACTCACACTCTTCTCTATGGACACTTAAGTTGTAGAAAAACAGCTATTCACCCTTTTCCTACATTAGACCCTCTACTTGGACTCCTCCCAAATCTCAGCATATCCAAATCCTGCTTCTCCAGAAGTCTAGCTCTATTCGCCATCCGTCCTTTGTCCCCAGCAGAATTATCAGTTTCTTCTGTTTCTCTTGTATTATGTCTGAACATCTTGGCAATGTATTAATTATTTCGGTTCCTATATTACAATTCATCTTAGAGAATATATATTTGAGTATAAGATGTATATGTTACTAAAACTTCTATATCTCTTACAGAGCTACTTAACCCAGTGCTTTACACTTCATGACTATATGGTGAATGAAGGAAAGAATTTGGCCTACACTACCTTAATGTGGAGACAGGCCAGATGTGTGGTAGGCAGGGGAAATGGCTATCAATAAAATTTAGCAATGCATAATCTTCAAAATAAATCATAGACTCCTCTAGGTATGTGAATAGGTAAATGTACCAGTCTGAATACTTGGTTTTAAAAATCTGTACTTTTTCTGTCATCACATAAAAATTGTAGTGCCTACTCCTTTGTACCACTAATGAAGTTTTTTACTTATACCATATTTGAAAGTTGGAAAACAAAGAAAAAATAATTTCCCTGAGAGCTTCAGACAGATTTTAAGAGATTTAAACTAATTCTTTTGTGGGCTACTTTTAGAGAACTACAGGTAGACATCATTAGGACAATTTTGTGACTATACCATGCAAATACTCATTTATGTCTTATCTCAGTGTAGCCACAAGATAATATCAAGTATCAAATCTAATATTGCTATAGAATTGTGAATGAAACTGTATAATTTTGAAATCAGCTTCTTTAGAAATCATTGCATTTTTGAATATGGAAGTAGACTAATGATTAGGAGTTCATTTCATGTGTACAAATACAGTATATTAAAGATCAGCCACAATAAGTGCATTTTAGGTTTTCCTTAATTATCCTTAGTATTGATTCAGATTAAGCTCTGATCAACCAAAATACGCTGATTCTTATCAGGGAAACTTTACTCCTTCCCCAGCATTTTACATTGATCTTATAAAATGAATATGTTTTCTTTTGCTCACAAATGGTGGATAATTTTAGCCTCTTATTTTTCATGAAATTGAATCACAGTCAAATTGGAAAGTTTTCAAATAATTTAAAATAAGATACCCTTCAAATTTCAAGTATCATTATTTTATGTACTACCAAACGGGTGTATTTTGTCCAAGAGGAAATGAGGAAGGGATTTGAGGAGGTAACAAAAATATATGACGTATGATGAAATGCCTGTTCCTGTGGTGTGTTTCATGGTGTCCTGCAATTCTGATGTTCATTGACACATTTCATACAGTATTTGAAAACTATATTTCTTAGGCTGTATTCTAAAGTATTTGAGTAAAATGCCCAATCTTTCAAGTTCCTGAGAAGTATTTATCATATACTTTAATAACATTGTATGGGTATTGTGGAAGGGGGGTATAGTGTATTACCTTATAATCCAAGGCAGATATAATTGTCATTTTTATATTTCATACACTTATGTTCTCCATCGTGTTGTGTTCTCTGGAGAAAGAGAGCTGCTCTTTCATCTGTTTTCATCATTGTTATTTCACTCTAGTGCTATTTGGGTATTCACTACTCATTTATCTGAAAACGGTTATATGTTGTGCAGAAGCAGGGATATGAATGTCTCTAGCCACTGGTTCTCTTTCAGGCCCCAGTAATGTGAAATAAACCAATCCAACAGTTGGTAGCCAAGCTGAAACCAGCCTAGTTTGAAGTGGCCTTGGTGCTATTCTCCTATCCATTATCTGAAACAGACTATCCTATCCTATTTAGATATGGCTTTTTTAAATTAAATGTATCATAAGAAGTGATTTGCTTGAGGCAGGACATATTCTTCAGTATGGACACACTGAAGTAAAATGTTTAATTTTCTCTGTGAAAACACAATAGATGACATATACCCTCTGTTGCTTTTTAATGGGTTAGTTATTAAATCAAGCATATGCTGGTTATTATTTATCTGCCAATTAAGGCAGAGGTAAGAACAGAATTTAGTTAGATGAATTTCTCAGCTAAGGTATTTATTTGTAAGGGAGCTACAGAAGTGATATTCCAATACAGCAATGGTTCCTAAAACTCAATAGTTAAATGGTATAAGCATCATATCCCTGGTTTCTCATGTCCGACACCAAGCAGACACATGTAAGTATTTGTAAAACAGATGAATGGATATTAATGGATGAAAAAAAAAGGAATGTAGGAACGAATGCCTATTGGTTTTTCTCATCTATTAAAAAATCACTGTAAAATAAATAGTGATGTATTTAGATGATTTAAATAACCTCCTTTAAATATATATATGTAACTAAATCACTATGTTTTATACCAAAAACTAACATGACATTGTAAACCAACTGGACTTCAATTAAAAAAAAAAACTCCTTTGTTCTTTTTTTTGAGGTGGGGTGATTAATTGTTTTTTGGTTGTTTTTTTTTTAAACAGAGGTAGTAGAAAATGATCCTTTTATTCTTTTGAAATCCTTTAAAGTCCAGTTAAGTTAAACAGAACACTGTATGAAGATTAGTGGCATTGCAGGTTATCCTGTCCTACTTAAATGTGGCTTTTTAAAAGTAAGTGTATTGTACATCCAGGCTTTTCATTTATGGAGAAAAATTTAATGTTCACATTTTTTTTCCCCTGTGTTCATCCTCCAGTCTTAGGAAACCATTTTACCTTTTTTTTGATTTTCTAATTTTGTCCATTATATAAAGGCAACATAGGAGCTAAGAGCCATAGTTGGTCTGATTGTTATAGCAAAGATACAATATCTGGAAATTTTTTCATAACCATGTCTGTAACACTTATTAAATACGTTAATACTGGTGACTACACACCCAGAATAATAGCATATAAAATAAATAAAGATTATTGGGTACAAACCACTGTGGAATCTTGATTTGAGGTTCAGTTTTGTCATTTTATACTGTGAGCTGACTATTAAATGATCCATAATTTTCTTCCCCAAGTCTTGTACAGCTATAAGAGCACTGTGCTTGTGCTGATTTTACTCTGACCGAACTCTGATCAGTTTTATTCTATCTGTAGTGCGGTAGAAAAAAGAAACAATATTAATGTAATATTAAATTGTTGAGAAAAACTAAAGCCTACATAAATCAACCTAGCAGCAGCCTAAGCCCAGGTTTAGTTTAATGCTTTTTAGTAGTTGTCTTAACTTGAAATCAATCCATTGTAAAATTTATGCCAAGAATAGTGAAGTTTTTTGGGATATAGTACAATAAAGGAGCAAAGATCTTGAAGCAACTTTTCAAATTAAATACATTAAATATTTTAATTATCACTACAAAGGTAAGCTTATGGCAAATAGTCATACAATATTTATTTCCTTTCTGCTAAGAAAAATTTTTAATGTAAATCTTAATGTAATCTTATAAGCAGAAAGAGTCTTAAAAGAAGACTCTGTCACAGAGTTCAGATGTTCTCCATTCAATTCTAGAATTTTATTTTGAATGAATTTTGTTAAAAAATATTTTTATAACTATGAATGTGATAATATTAACGTCAAAAAAAGCAAGATGTAAAATATACAAGAATGAGACAAACTATATGCATACACATGCATGGTTGCAATCATAGAAATGAAAATAATGCAAAATAGATTAAAATGTTTACTTGTTAATCTTTGGGTAGTAGAATTCCAGGCAATTTTTACTTTTTTATACTTTTTCTGTGATAAGCATGCATAACTTTTATAAGAAGAAAAATTACATTTTTTGATACTGTATTAAAAATTTTGTTTTGTCTTAGTGTTCTAGATGGAAACTACTGATGTGCTTTAAAGTTCTTTGTGTATATAAATGGCAGTTTGATATGGTGGTTTGCTTTTTAAAAAATAATGCCTCAACATTTTTACATCTTTAAATAATATAAGCTTCTGCTTGATATTAAAGGAAACTGGGGGGGAAAGGAATAAAAAATAGTTAATAATTTCCTTTAATTTTTAGATGCCAGAATTACAGAAAAGTTCAGTTCGCATCAAGAACCTTGAAAGAGTAGAAGAAATTATCTGTGGTCTTATCAAAGGAGGCGCTGCCAAACTTCAGGTGAATAATTATCAATAAACCCTAATTTATTATTAAGCCTTTATTTTTCATGTTCAAGCAGATTTAATTTAATGTTCATTCATCTTACGCTTTGCTACAATCTGAATAAAGAAAATTTAGTAGACAAGCTTCGCCTATCCTTCTGGAATATAGAATCTAAAAGATAGATCTGGAATTGGTCTAAAATATGCAGAACAGCCATTGGAAACAAACAGAAATTAATAGTCTTGAGATAAATTTAGCTTTTCTTTAGCTATTAAGTGCTACTAAATTAATAGTACTATGCATAAGTATTAAACCATTTTAAGTATAATGTTATTAATATTAATAATATGATTAATAACCTTTAAAATGTGTACAGTTGCTGCACCAGAAATTGACACAACATTGTAAACTGATTATATTTCAACTTTAAAAATAAATAAATAAATAAAACCCCACTAGACCAGAAAAGACACCATAAAATACAATGGTGGAAAACTTTAAAAAAAATACACAGTTTCACATTGTTGTTCTTTTAATTAAATCATAAAGTTCAAGATAAGATGTTACTTTATTAGGAGATAGATAACTTTTTTTAATTTTCTCTTTAAAGGAATGTTTTACATGTAAATTAAATCAACAATCTGAATATTCAGTAAGAAAATTATTCCTTTTTTAAAATATTTCTGAAAAAATATTTAGCCCAGTCTCCTAAATTTTAAGAGCTGTAAATTATTGCTGTATATCATTTATTCATTGGTATAGTTTACCTAAATAGACAAGTTAAATCAAGAATGTAACAGTTAAAAAAAAAAGAATGTAACAGTTTCAGTAACTAAGTGATTCATTTAGTTTAACTGCTTCCACTGCATTTTTGTACATTGACCAAGTAGGTTGAAGTTGTGTAATGTTTTATTGGTGTCAGGAGCAGTAACCATATCACCTACAATTGCAAATTCCTGTACTGATTAGTCAGATTTTATTTGGTGACAGGCAGTGCTGGGGCACTTAAGGTTCACCTTGTTAAGGACATAATATATGAACTGCATTAGAAAACGCAGCATAGACAGAATAACCAAAGGTGGGGGGCAGAAGCAGAGCATAGTCTCATGCCTCTAGGAAGTGAGCATTAAATGTGGCCTTGGTGGCTATGATTTCATGCCTTTTTCCCTTTTCTTACAGATAATAACAGACTTTGATATGACACTGAGTCGATTTTCCTACGAAGGGAAAAGATGCCCATCATGTCATAGTAAGTGAGGCATTTAAAAATAAATTCAGGACAAAGTAATCATTGTTTTAAGATCCTTTTCTACTTACATTAGCTATGAGATTGCTTGGATTTTTTTTTTCCTTTTAGACATTAAAAGGGGAAGGCTGCTTTTTAAATTATATTTTGAGCATTTGTTTTCCCCCATGTTACATAAATGGCTGTTTTACTATATTGTTTTGGTTGCAAGAGGAATGAAGCCTTCTGAAATTTTTCTCTACAAATGTGGTCTGTGTATTATTCAAGAAATATTTAAATGGTTTTAAACCTTGAATTGTCCTAAAGAAACAGGTTTATCAAATACTCTGTTTTCTAGGGCTGTTAATACATTTTTGTGTCATTGATAAACTGAGTAAAAGAATGAGTTACTAAATAAATATCAAGCTAAAATATGTTACTAGGAATTGACACAACATTGTAAACTGACTATAACTCAGTCAAATTAAAATAAAATGTTACTAGGATAATATACCTTTTTTGTTTTCCAAACTTGGTAGTAAGTTTTTTAAATGATACTCTTCAACCTGACAAATAAGCAGTGATACAAGCAATCTCATTTACTGTTGGTATGTGTATAATTTGAGAAATCATTTTGATGATTTATTTTTAAAAACCACTAAAAATTATAGCTGTTGGCCCAGTAATACCTCTCTGGAGAATTCTAATCAGGTAATCCCAAATGTAGGAAAAAAGCTTTAGATCCACGGTTTAGATTTTAAAACCATTAGATTCTCTAGGAATGCCATGTGAATTTTAGCACTAAGACCAAAAGTTATAATGACTGTGCTAATCGACTTGGTATTTAAACTTTAAAGTAGTAAGTTATTTATAGTAGTGGTAGCATCAGAATGTATTTCTTTTAATGCCTAGTGTTTCCTCTCTTTAGATGTCATTGACAACTGTAAGCTAATTACAGAAGAATGTCGAGAAAAGGTAAACACTAACTGTAATCCAGAGTTACTCAAAGACTTCATTACCTTTTTTGCTGGTGAATTTTTTCAGGTTCATTCACACAAACAAGAGTGGAAGTAAAGTGCTTGTAGCCATATCTGGCACATAGTAAACACTCGGTAGATCTTAGTTTTTATTGTATGCTCTCAACATAGTTTGAGGAAAAAAATTAATAGTAACTTTGTAACAACAGTAAAACTTAACATGGAAAACTTTTAATCGATTACCAAAGTATCCTGGTGACTTTAACTGGAGAATTAAAACAAAAGTACTGTGGTTTTATGTATTTTGTTCCCTTAAATTGGTCAGGAAAATACCTCAGTTCTCTACTTTCCTTGAGTAGGTGTCTATCTGTGTCTATTTTAAAACTGTGACTCCAAGTATTAATCAAATTTAATACTCTCATAGGAGAACAAAAGTTTTTTGTAGTGATAACTTGATTATTGGTTTCGCTGAATTACTGACCTGAAAGTACTTAAAGAAAGGTATGAGAAAATAGTTAGCTTTTAGCAGGTGTATTTAGTTACATGTAAACAAAGATCTCTTTAGTGGATATGTGCATTAGCTAAGCATGATCTGGTCTTTACCATATAAAGCAGTTTATAGAAAACACTTTTTTACCTTGTTTTGCTTTCTATAAAACTAAGCAGCTTAGAGGGAAGGGATATAGCTCAATGGTAATACACATGCTTAGCATGCACAAGGGCCCAGGTTCAAGCCCCAGTGCTTCCATTTAAAAAAACAAAATCTAAGCAGCTTACTGACAACTATAATTTAATGATTAAGTTATTCATTTATTTCTAGTTATTACAACTAAAGGAAAAGTATTATGCTATTGAAATTGATCCTGTTCTTACTGTAGAAGAGAAGTACCCTTATATAGTAGAATGGTAAGTGTGTGTTGGGTGATGGGGGGATTAAAAATATAAAATAACACTACAGTGAAAACTAATGGTTTATTTTACCCCTGAACTGTATATAAATAGATTCCTAAGTTATCCAGTGAGTTCGAGCAGTGATTAAATATGACAAAATGAACTCTTTTATTACTGCAGCAGTCTAGAATTTGTTCTTTTTTTAAGATGAATATCAGTGGGAATAAATTAAAAAATCTGCACTCAAGCCTTAAATTAAAAACGAGAAAAAAATTTTTAAGTATATGTACAGATGTGACTGAATGTGTAAAGAAAAAGAATTAGGGTTTAAATTGACTCTAAACTCAGTTGGAGCCAGCATAGTTACTGAGAAATGAACCTCTGATGTTGGTCGAATTAATCAAAATGCAGCATTCCAAGCAGACCACAGTGGCAGCATTGTGTTGAGTCCTGAGAGAATGCTCTTAAGAAAAATGTTGACAACCTTGGGCTGTGTCAAAGGAGTCCACTTAGATAATCGCAGGAATTGGAGTCATCCCACTTGATGAAGATTTCAAGGAACAGAGAGTGCTTTGATTTGAGAAGCAACAAGTTGTGGTTTCATAGTCTTAAAAGATCAGGAATGATGTTTTTGGTCTTCATTATCCCATTACCTAACCTTGCACACTTAATCAGTGTTCATGATATGAAACATTGAAAAGAGGTTACACTTACTGTACATGCCTGTCAAAACAGAACTGAAATTAGACTTGGAAGACTTAAACAGATTGATTTCAACATGATGAAAGAAAGGACTGTCCAGCAATTAGCATTTTCTAGCAATGGAATAAGCTTCCCTTGGACAGTGAGCTCACTAACATGATAGGAGCTGACCAGAGAGGAGGGTCATTTAGGAATATGACAGGTAGATTCTTAGATATCAACTGGAGAGGTTCTAAAGGCCTATTATACTGAGATGCTGTAATTATAGCATCACCACCAGTGATGTAATTACAGAACACCTATGTGTAAATCTTTCCATAACAAGGATTTTCTCTTGCTCACTAGGCAACATCTTCAGTACTAAGGCATTGCGTGAAAATTCAGACCACAAACAGGTGGAAAAAAATGGCTTTGCTCTAATTCTTACTGCAATTTAGAGAAATGATTATACCTCCCTAGCTTTGATTCAATTCTTATCTATAGACTGAGAAAAGGTTTACACCTAGTATCCTGTCATTGTTTTATTAATACCTTTAAACTAAATCAGGGTTTGAGAACTGGGAAATAACAGTAAGAGTATGTGTATTATATTTTGAGGCACATGGGATATACATTCATTAGTAATTAATTTAAATCTCTAAAATTTAAATCCAAAATTATGATGAATGAAAGACTCATTTTCTCATACTGAAGAATGATTTTTAAATAAAGATACTAGTTTTAATTTGCTTTGATATTCTCTTTATGCTTATCAGGTATACTAAATCACATGGTTTGCTTGTTGAACAGGCTTTACCAAAAGCCAAACTTAAAGAAATTGTAGAAGAATCTGACATTATGCTCAAGTAAGTTTCTTGGGTGTTTTTTGTTATTTAATTGTCTACATGCTTGAACTGTTATTATTTATATGTATTCAAGGGTGTATTTTTATTAAAATAACCTATCACAGTATTACATATAAAAATGTACCCAAAATATGCCACCTATCATAAAACAGTGGTGAAACAAGAAATTTAGAATAACGTAATAGGTCTTGATGTAGGGAATAAGAGCCCTAGGAGATTTAAGTATGAATTTGCATTTCTTTTTTACAGATTAAAAATTTCAAGACTAACTTAAAAATTTCTGAAACCAAGACCATTTTGAAATATTTTAGTAAAATATTTTTGAAAGATATGAAGTATTAAAGGAATGTATATAGATCAACATGAAAAAGATTTTTTAGCCCGTCACTCTGTTTCTGTTACATGGTCTGCTTTCTGAATTCTCAAACTCCCCTTGAAAACTGTTGTCTCTGGGAAGGGTGAATATGTTTTAGCAGATAATAAAAATATTTGTAATACATGAATTATAGGATATAAACAGTTTTAAGCTTTTTTTCAATACTGTTTACCACCTCTTAAATTTTTGAACTCATTAAGCAAATATGATGATACTATTTCTTTTTTTACTTTTTTTGATGGTGCTGCTACATTTTAAGGTGATCTACCTCTAAGGAGGAAAGCATTAAATTGTCAAAGAGTGTGAGGACAGCTAGTAACTATTTTATTCCTTTGTAGGCAGCTTAACCTATAGCCCAGTAGCAGTAAAAAAGATTTTGATTTTAAGATCAAGACATTACCTACAGCTGCCAGATGTTAGGTAGGAGAGATGCCAGATGTAGTAGCCTAGTTCCTAGTAGCCTAGTTCCTGCCGCTCTCCTTTCCTAACAGCAGGGAGTAGGTGAGCAAGATGACAAGCAGGAGGTCTTCCAGCTCACCCAAAGTGGGTTTTTCAATGTGTGGTTCAGTTACGTGCTGTTAAATGGTGTACATTCTGAATTGTAGGTTTGTATACATGTTCAGTACAAGTCTTAAATCATCTAATTTGTACTATTAGAATTTATTGAAAGGATGGTAAAGAGTTAACCAGTTTGAAAAACTTGTACTAGTAGTGTCGTAGACATCAATAACAACAGCCCTCTTGGGTAGTATTTTTGAAACAAGAATATAAATGAGCCATAGAATCAAGTAGAAATATTTAGCTGTTTTAACTTCTAGGTGAAAAGGAGATATGTCTTACTCTTTAACACTCACTTCCTCCATATTACAGGGAAGGATATGAGAATTTCTTTGATAAGCTCCAACAGTACAGTATCCCTGTGTTCATATTTTCGGCTGGTATTGGTGATGTACTAGAGGAGGTTATCCGTCAAGCTGGTGTCTATTATCCAAATGTCAAAGTAGTGTCCAACTTCATGGATTTTGATGACAATGTAAGAATATCAAATCATTCTTCATAATTTTAATATCAAATAATTTTAATTATGTAAATGCATTTTAATTTATTATTTGATGTATATCCGTTAGATTAGGCCAAGTTGATAGGCCTACTGTGGGACTCATCTCTCCCAGGGTTCTTGTATATCCATTTTTAAAAATAGTATACCATTCTTAAACTTATTTCCAAAGCTATTGACTAATAATAAAATTAGTAAAACTTCTTTCAAAGTAATTTAATGTAGCAATTCTGAACACTTAATATCCATAGATGGAAAAAAAATGAATAAGAAGTGGCATTATTTGAATAGGTTCTAAGAAAGACACTATATTATGATATACATAAAATGGGACCTTTTGGTTAGAAAACAGATGAAAAGTAAAAATTGGGTTTTCAATGCATTGTGTTTAACATTTAAAGTAGTCTCTAGAAAGTTGTTAACTTCTTAGAGCCCTTCTTACCTATCGTAAATGTGAAAATACAACAAGTAGAACTTGCAGAACCTATTGTTTCAAAGGATTTATATTTTTAATAGGGGCTGCTCAAAGGATTTAAAGGGGAACTAATTCATGTCTTTAACAAGCATGATGGCTCCTTGAAGAATACAGAGTATTTCAATCAACTGAAAAACAACAGCAACATAATTCTGCTGGGAGACTCCCAAGGGGACTTAAAAATGGCAGATGGAGTAGCCAATGTTGAATACATTCTGAAAATTGGATATCTAAACGATAGAGTAAGTATACAAATCTGTTACTTAATTTTATTTTTTTACAAAATTCAGATGAAACTATAGGCAATTGTTACCAAAGGTGCCTGAGAAAGTAGTTATTTTAAAGATATTTTGATTGCTTTTTATCCCTTTACTTTGGTGATTATTAAAGGAGTTGATGTGCACATATGCATGCTTTAGGTATTGGGGGAGGTAGAGTGTACATTTTAAGCGAGGCGTCTCTGACCTCTCCCCACTAGAAGCCAGTATCATTCCCTAGTCACGAGAATCAAAAATGTCTCTAGGCATTGCCAAATGTTCCTTGGGCACTGTCTCCCCAGTTGAGAACCACTGGGCAAGAAACCATTTCAGAAGCAAAGCTACCATATGGTTAATTTTCTATGTCAATGAGTCTTAACATTTTGAAAGTATTTCTTCATGCCAAAGGTTTTATGAAAATCAATTTAATTTACTACATTTGCCCAGAAGATCTAACATAACAGTGAGATTTATCCTGAGATTATTTACTTCTCCTTCCATATTAATTTTTATGATTTTTTGGTTGTTAATTAGGTGGATGAGCTTTTAGAAAAGTACATGGAATCTTACGATATTGTTCTAGTAAAAGATGAATCCTTGGAAGTAGCCAACTCTATCTTACAGAAGATCCTATGAACAAGCATTCTTTAAAAGGACCTCTCACCTGTGGGTACAACTGATGCAAGAGCTGCTCATCTGTTCATCTTGCTAAAAGACATTTATTTATAATATGTTCTTACTCTTGAAGTTTTCCCTCTACATTACTGAAGTATTTTCAGATTTGTTGAATCCATCAATTGGAAGCTCCTTTTTCTCCACATCTCTCAACACACTCCTCACCGTATTTTTAAAGAGATTTTAAAAAATCTTAGAGCAAAAATTACTTAGAGCAACAAAATAACTCCCTACATTTCCATAGTGAATTTTGTAGCTTAATGTTATTATGAAGTTTTTGAGGAGTCTTTTTACATTGGGAAAGTTTGTGGGAGTTTTAAAAGTTTTATGAAATGGTGAAATAATGTGCATGATTTTAAATGTTACCATTTTTATAATTTGGGTGAATTATGCTAATGGTATTACCGTCTTCTAAAATTGTGTTTTGTTTGGTTATTTTGTTTAGTGAAAATCAACATATACCAAAAATATTGGCACTTGATGTTTGAAAAAAATCCATTGGTATCTACGTGTCACTAATCATTATAAAATGTTCTGTATGGAAGCACTGATGATAAACATGAAATGAAAAGCCTTTTTAATTCTGTGAAGACTATTATTATTCACCCAACAAATACTCATTCAACAAAACCTGCCATGTTTTTCTTGTGTGTGTATGATGTATGAATCCTAATGTTCTTGTCATAGTGGCTATTTAGATTATTTTCAAATTGACACACCATAAGAATAAGAAGATTTTTGCAGAGAAAATTTAATCTACTCTTCAGAAAATACTGTGGCCTGGGAAAATTGTTTTCCAACCAATGAAAATACTAGTAAAAGAAGATACTTTATTGTAAGTCTAAGCATTTCAGAAACAGCCACAGCAGGGAACAAAATGTAGCTGTGTGTCCTGGTGACTAAAACCAAGTACTTTGAGGTTAGGAACCAACATTCATCTCTGTAGCCTGACTTCCATTCAGAGACTTGCCATTGTGATAACTTTGATCCTGACTCTAGCTCTTGAACTGCAGAGTCTATAAGCAACTAATTAGTTTTCTTAGCATCTGAACTATGATACAGACAAAGCATAATCCAACTGGTTCTGGACGTCCAGTGTGGTCAATAATTTCTAGTCTAATCAGATATGGCAAGGTCTCATGATGCAAACTTTTTTACTGTGGCACCCCATCCTTATCCTTCATCACTTCTCCTTTTTATAATAAACAATGAAACAAAGTATGCACTGGCAGAAAGTAGACTGTTCCTGCTGAGGTATTTCCAGAATGGAACTCAAAACCAAGCTTCCTGCTTTAAAGCAGATAGCATAGCATGGGAGTATCAATTACCTGCAGGGCTTTTTCATATAGAAAATAGTTGGGCATCTCTGATCTAATGATAGCTCTTTACCCCTGTATTTGCTGTTAGAGCCTTCCATATTGGCTGTTTTCCAAAGAAGTTTATAGTACGCTTCCACAAATAAGCATTTTGCATGGTGTAAATGTAAAGAAGACTGAAGGTATGCCTTGCATTCTAGTTGTGGCTTAGTCCTTTATTAAGACTATGGGTCAGTCACCTCCCAATAAAACGAAGGCCGTGAGAGCAGTCTCCATAGCCTCTTCTAGCCACTACCAAGATAACTCGATTATCAAGCCAAGGCCCATGACTCTTCCACTATACGCTCATGAACCTATCATATCTCACTGCCCCTGATGTTAGTGATATTTAAAATATTTGTTTTCAGATTTAATTTTCAGAGCAATTTAATGTAGCCGTTAGGAAATGGGCCATAGAGTCAGACTGCCTGGATTTGCATACAAGTGGTATCATATGATATTTGTCTGACTTACTTCACTTAGTATGATAATCTCTGGGTCCAAATAGCATTATTTCATTCTTTTTTATGGCTGAGTAGTATTCCATTATATATTCACATATATTTTTTACTACGTGTATGCAGAATCTAAAAATGAAACAAATGAACTTATTTACAAAATAGACTTACAGACAGAAATATGATGTGTGTGTGTGTGTATATGTATGTATACTTCTTTATGCAATCATCTGTTAATGGACATCTAGGTTGCTTCCATGTCTTAGCCACTGTAAATAGTGTTGCTATGAACATTGGGGTGCATGTATCTTTTCAAATTAGAATTTTCTCCAGATATATACCGAGGAGTAGGATTGCTGGATCATATGGTAAGTCTGTTTTTAGTTTTTTAAGGAAACTGCATACTGTTTTTCATAGTGGCTTCACCAATTTACATTCCCACCAACTGTGTAGGATGGTTCCCTTTTCTCCACACCCTCTCCAGCATTTATCATTTGTGTAATTTTTAATGATGACCATTCTGACCAGTCTCAGTTGGTACCTCATTGTAGTTTTTTTCCCCCACTTATTTTTAGTATTTTTATTGATTGAAGTATATTCAGTTTACAGTGTATCAATTTCTGGTGTACAGCATAATGTTTCAGTCATACATATATTCCTTTTCATATTCTTTTTCACCATGTGTTACCATAAGATATTGAATATCATCCCCTGTGCTATACAGAAGAAGCTTGTTGTTTGTCTGTTTTACATATAGTAGTTGATATTTGTAAATCTCAAACTCCCAATTTATCCCTTCTTATCCCCTTTCCCCCTGGTAACCAACCATAAGTTTGTTTACTATGTCTGTGAGTCTGTTTCTGTTTTGTAGATAAGTTCATTGTTGTCTTTTTTCTTTTTTTAGAATCCACATATGAGTGATGTCATATGGTATTTTTCTTTATCTTTCTGGCTTACTTCACTTAGAATGAGAATCTCCAGGTCCATCCATGTTGCTGCAAATGGCATTATTTTATTTTTTATGGCTGAGTAGTATTCTATTATATAAATATACCACAGCTTCCTTATCCAGTCATCTGTCAATGGACATTTCGGTTGTTTCTGTGTCTTGGCTGTTGTAAATACTGCTGCTATAAACATTGGGGTGCGTGTGTCTTTTCAAATTAGAGATTCTTCCGGATATATGCCCAGGAGTGGGATTGCTGGATCATATGGTAAGTCTATTTTTAGTTTTTTATTTTCCATACTGTTTTCCATAATGGCTGCACAAAACTACATTCCCACCAACAGTGTAGGAGGGTTCCCTTTTCTCCACACCCTTGCCAGCATTTATCATTTGTGTAATTTTTAATGATGACCATTCTGACCAGTTTGAGTTGATATGTAGTTTTGATTTGCATTTTTCTGATAATTAGCAATGTGGAGCATCTTTTCATGTGCCCATTGGCCATTTGTATGTCTTCACTGGAGAAATGTCTGTTTAGGTCTTCTTTTTTTTGATTAGGTTGCTTGTTTTTTTGAGTTGTATGAGCTCTTTGTATATTTTGGAAATTAAGCCCTTGTCAGTCACATCACTTGCCAATATTTTCTCCCAGTCCATAGGTTGTCTTTTCATTTTGCTTGTGGTTTCCTTTGCTGTGCAAAAGCTTATAAGTTTAATTAGGTCCCATTTGTTAATTTTTGCTTTTATTTCTGTTGCCTTGGTAGACTAATGTAGGAAAACATTGCAACAATTTACATCATAGAATGTTTTGCCTATGTTCTCCTAGGAGATTTGTGGTTTCCTATGTTATGTTTAAGTCTTTAAGCCATTTTCAGTTTATTTTTGTGTATGGTGTGAGGGAACGTTCTAACTTCATTGATTTACATGCAGCTGTGCAGCTTTCCCAACACCAACTACCACCAGTAGTTGTCAATTTCAAATTTTACTTTGTGAGGTAAAGCAGTTTTGAGTGCTAAGGGTCACAATTTTGAAGAAAATGGAGGAGGGGGGACTAGTTTGTCAGAGAAAGAAAACTAGCTTACACCAGAGATATCATTAGAAATCTACATTCCATGGTGTGTTTAAAAGACACTAAAGTTGATTAGGTAGATTATTGAAGGCTTTTTTAAACCAAACTTGAGGTTCAGGGTTTTCTCTTTGGTAATACCCTATGAGAATCAGGAAGGAGAGGATACATGTGATCTTGAACGACTAAGCCTGAAACTTTTCCAAGGTTGCCCCAGAATTCAACAGTCCTGCTGTATTTTGTACTTAGTCTGGTATTTCAGTACAAAGTTTAAAAGATGAATGCCTGAGGTATAAAGGACACAGGCTTTGAAATTGGTCATACCTGGATATGAGTCTTTGATTCTGCCTATGACATGGAGTAAGTTTTCAAGTTTTCTAAGCCTTGATTTCCTCATCTGTAAAGTGGCATATTAATTCAAGAGGGAAGGATTAAATGAATCATTCAACAAATACGTTAAGTCCTTACTTTGTATTAGGTTCTAGAGAAACAGTAGTTAAATCAGACATGTTTCCTGCCCTCATGTAGCTTCCATCCTAATGGATGAGACAAAAGGAGAAAAGAACTAAAGCATAAATAAGGCAAACACTATGAAAAAAATACAACTAACAAGGGACCTATTTTAGATAGGGTAGTCGGAGAAAGCTCTGATGTGATATTTAAGCCAAAGCCTGAAGGATTACAAGGAGCCAGCTGTGTGAGGAGCTGAGGGGGTTGATTTCCAAGGAGAGGGAATGCATGTGCAAAAACCCCACATAAGAACTGAGAACTGATCTAACGGTCTTAGGAGCAAAGAGAAGAATGGCATCAGATGAGTAGGAGAGGGGCGGGTGCCAGATTACAGGGCTTTGTCAATCATAATAAACTTAGTTTTACTTTCCCTGTAAAGGAGTGCCATGATCAGTTGGTGACAAGTGACAAATGGACTGGTAGGGGCAGATACAGGTCCTACCCAACCCCCTACATGTGAAAGTAGTGTTCCTATGAAACTTTTCCTAAGCCAAAATGATGTAAAGCAAAGAAGCTGTTACCTTAGGACACATCTTGCTAACAGAGGCACAAAAGAGGCTCACATACAGTTCAAACCTATGGCAGCTTGATACTGAGTGTAGTTCTTGAGGAAGGAGCTTGGCGGTGCCTCTCACTTTTGGGGCTGCACTTTCCCTCTACAACACTGAATGTGGACCTTGCTTTGCACCTTTTTGTAAAAGCAAAAATCTTCCTGGGATTTCTTTCAGTTAGTGAAGATAGATATGTCAAATTTAAGTCTTTCATAAAAGCAAAGTGGCGTAAAGTGAACTACTGAAAAGCAGGGGGTCCCCGTATACCCAAGCAAACAAATAAGGAAGTACTGCGGAATTCCAAACTAGAAATTATGGTAGGTTGGCAGAACCGGGGCAGTGGAGCTGGAGAGAAGTAGATCATTTGCAATAGTTTAGATTTAGAAATGACCAGCCTTGCTGTTGGATTAAATACGGCAGTGGTGAGAGAATAGGGTGCTCCCAGGTGTCTGATTTGAGTAAATGAGTGCAACAGAAAAATGAGAGGAATAGGCTTGGCTGGAGGGTGCTGGGAAGGGAGTGGACCATTCTATTGGACACTCGCAGTTCGAGGTGACTGAGATATACAAGGGAATATACCAAACAGGTATCTAGCGCTCAAAGAAGAAATTTTGAAATGCATAAATTTTGGATATTTTTTTGTATTCAAGTGACATTTAAATATGACCACTATAAGCTGGAAGGAATCCGCTGACCTATTGAAATTCCAACATTAAGGAAGAGGACCACACAGAATCAAACACTGTTTTAGTAAGCATAGAAGATTTATATCCACAACTAGCAATAAATAATTAGGAGCAGTATTCTTATTTTATATAAAGACCCCAGATCTCCAACAGGTCCAAGGGAAGAAAGCTTCAAAGAAAGCAATTTTGTTCCTAGAAACCTAGGGTTTTAAAGTGCTTATGTATAATCTAGTAGTCTGGCCAGCTTCCCTGCCAAAATGGCATATGTTCCCTTAGCAATGAGAAGAATGGAAGTGCCAGGCAGCACTCAACAATAAGCCAAAGATTTAGAAAGATAAACACTGCAAAAAATATCTGAAAGATACCACTTACATGTGGAATAAAAAAAAAAATAGTTGAAATACATAGAAACAAGTAAAAAAAAAAAAAATAAGTAGGTTAACCGTAAGGGTAGGGAGGTAGGTAAAAGGGGTAACGTAACTTACGCTATAATAAGGTTACGTGG